TTACCCGTGACGCTGCTGCTCGCTTAGCCGTTCGCAATCACCTGCCGTTAGCACAATATTGCTAAAGCCCTGTACGATGCTGTAGTCGCTCGTTACTCTTCCCCTGTCACTGCTGCTCTCGGCCGCCTTATACTGCCCTACCATTTTCCCGAGCTGTCAGCCTTTGCCACAGTCGAGACCTCATCACCCACCTTCGCACTAGCGACACTCGCTACCGCGCTGCCCTCAAAGCCGAGTTCCTAGACAAGAACCCACCCCCGATGTACATCACTCTCTACTTCATAGTCACCCGCCTCCCTGACTCTCTTCGCGCAGTCAGGGACCACTTTCTCGCACTTGACCCCACAGACCTCACTGTCGACCTGCTCGAGAAGCACCTCCTTGCAGCTGAGACTAGCATGGTCGCTGTAGGTGTTGCTCGTGGCACTCCTCGCACACCCTTCTTTGAGGGGTGTTCCCCCTCCCCCCTTGCCCCCTCCTACGCTTCTGCTGCTGCTATTGACATCCTTGGTACTGAGGAGTTCGGGGCTGCTTCTGCTCCTAGAGGGAAGCGCCGCAGTGGTAAGGGCAACGGAGGCAAGAGTGGTGGAGGTGGCAGCGGGGGTGGTGGTGGTGGAGGCGGCGGAGGTGGCGGTGGGAGTGGTGGCGGGAGTGGGGGCTTCGGTGGCGGCGGTGGTGGGAGCGGTGGGAGTGGTGGTGGCGGTGGTGGCGGCAATGGGAGTGGTGGCGGCGGCAGTGGTGGCGGTCGGGGTGGAGCCGTTCAAAAGGGAGGTTCTGGCGGTGGCCAGAGGCAGCAGCAGCAGCGTCCGAGCGAGACCCCTACGCCCCAGCAGCTTCGTATAGAGGATGTTAGTCTTGGTGCTAGTGAGTCTGCTCTCCCTGGTACTGCGCCTGCTGAGGCCTTGCACATCTTCACGCTTGACTCAGGTGCTTCCCGCTGTTTCTTTCGCGACAGTACTACACTCACTCCACTCCCTGGACCTGTTCCAGTCAGACTGGCTGACCCCTCAGAGGGCCCAGTTCTTGCACGTTCCACCACTGTTCTCCCCTGTCCAGCGGTTCCGTCCGGCTCACGGTCAGGTCTTCACCTCCCCTTAATCTCTACGAACTTGGTGAGTACCGCTGCCCTCCAGGATGCGATGGTCACTACCACCAGTACTGGGGGTCAGCGTGTGGCGATCTGCACGTGTACATGGACGGGCCGACACCTAGCCACGTTCACCCGTCGGCCTGGGTTGATTCTGTACACACTGACTACTGAGCCTGCTCAGGTAGCTGCTTCTGGTCAGGTGTCCACGTCAGGTCAGGTAGCTGCCCCCTGTTCGTGTCGCCTCCTGTCACACCAGACTCTCCTGTGACACCACCGCCTTGGTCACCCCTCCCTGCCACGCCTTCGTGGCATGCACTCACGCCTCCTTGTTTCTGGTCTCCCCAGGTCTCTGCCTCCCCTCCCGTCCTCGCCTGCCCCGCCCTGCCTTCCTTGCGTCAAGGGGCGGCAGCGCGCCGCTCCTCACCCCTCCTTGTTTCCTCCGATGACTGCTCCCCTGCAGACTCTCCACATGGACGTGTGGGGCCCAGCCCGCGTCACTGGACAGGGCGGCGAGCGCTACTGTCTGCTGGTTGTTGACGACTTCACGCGGTACACCACGGTCTTCCCCTTGCGCAGCAAGGGTCAGGTCCCTGATGTCTTGATCCCTTGGATCTGCACAGTCTGTCTCCAGCTCCGCGAGCGGTTCCGCGAGGACCTTCCAGTCCTGCGTCTGCACTCTGGCAGAGGTGGTGAGTTCTCCCCCGACCTCTTGCGGGACTTTTGTCGTGAGGAGGGCATCCTCCAGTTGTTTATGCTTCCGGCCTCCCCGCAGCAAAATGGGGTTGCTGGTCGCCGCATTGGCTTAGTCATGGAGGTGGCTCGTACCTCCATGATCCATGCGGCTGCTCCCCATTTTTTGTGGTCGTTTGCGGTCCGGTACGCTGCGCATCAGCTCAACCTCTGGCCCCGTGTCTCCTTGCTGGAGACCTCGCCTACACTGCGTTGGTCAGCGATGCGTCGGTGTTCCGGGTCTTGGGCTCTCGTGCCTTTGTCCGCGATACTTCCGCAGACAAGCTCTCCTCCCGCGCTATTCCCTGCGTCTTCCTTGGTTTCCCCCCTGAGGCGCCTGGCTGGCAGTTTTACCACCCCACCTCGCGCCGTGTCCTGCCCTCTCAGGACGTCACGTTTGACGAGTCGGTTCCCTTTTACTGTCCCTTCCCCTACCGCATTGCCCCTCTCCCCCCCCGCCGCTCTTCCTCGCTCCAGGTCCCCCTCCGGTAGACCCCCTCCCCCCTCAGGGTCCTGCTCCCTCAGGTGTGTCTCAGGTAGACCCATTCCCTTGGCTGAGCCTGTCGAGGTCACTGTAGACTCTGGTGCTGCTGGGGGTGGTGCTGCTAGGGGGTGATGCGTCTCGGGGTGCTGAGCCTGCGGGTGCGGAGCCTGGGGGTGCTGAGCCTGAGGGTGCGGAGCCTGGGGGTGCTGAGACTGAGGATGCGGAGCCTGGGGGTGCTGAGTCTGAGGGATCGGAGTCTAGGGGTGCTGAGCCTAGGGGTACATCGTTTGCCGGAGGTCCTGCGGGTGCCTCGCCGCGACAGTCCCGTCGGCGGGAGCTTCTCTCATCGCGGCAGCTGCGCGAGTGGTTTGCTTGGCGCTCACGCCTTAGGAGTGGCGCTGCAGGAGCTAGAGGCCCTGCCGCTGGAGGCACTGGAGCTGGAGGTGCTGGAGCTACTAGTCCTGGAGGTGCTGGAGTTGCTGGTCCTGGAGGTGCTCGTACTAGAGGTACTGGAGCTGCCGGAGCTGGTGATGTTGGAGGCGCTGGAGCTGGAGACCTTGGAGCTGGAGGCATTGGAGCTGGAGGCGCTGGAGCTGGAGGCACTGGAAGTGGAGACCCTGGAGCTGGAGGCACTGGAGCTGGAGACCCTGGAGCTGGAGGCGTTGGCGCTGGAGGCGCTGGAGCTGGACGAGCTGGAGCTGGAGACCCTGGAGCTGGAGGCGCTGGAGTTGGAGGCGCTGGAGTTTCTAGTCCTGGAGGTGCTGGAGTTATTGCTGGAGACCTTGGAGCTGGAGGCACTGGAGCTGGAGACCCTGGAGCTGGAGGCACTGGCGCTGGAGGCGCTGGAGCTAGAGGAGCTAGAGCTGGAGGCACTAGACCTGGAGGCGCTAAAGCTGGAGGCGCTGGCGCTGGAGGTGCTGGAGCCGGAGGAGCTGGAGCTGGAGGCACTGGAGCTGGAGGAGCTGGAGCTGGAGACCCTGGAGCTGGAGGTGCTGGCGCTGGGGGTGCTGGAGCTGGCGGTACTGGTGCTGGAGGCACTGTGCAGCGGCAACCGTTTTTCGTTCCGCCGCCGCCGTCGTCTCTGCCGCCACCTGTCTCGGTCCTTTGTGAAGTCGGAGTTGCAGAAGAGACACACCTGCACTGACCTGGGTGAGCTGCGCAGCTATCTTGGCTTGCAAATCACCCGGGACAGAGCACGGCGCACCATCACCCTAACTCAGTCACACATGGTGCACAAGGTCCTTCAGCGCTTCGACTTCCGGTACTCCTCGCCACAGTCCACTCCTCTAACTACTGGTCACTCGCTCTCAGCTCCACCTTTGGACGAGTCCATAGAGCCGAGTGGTCCGTATCCAGAGCTTGTGGGCTGCCTCATGTACCTGATGACCTGCACTCGACCTGACCTTGCCTACCCTCTTAGCATCCTGGCACGCTACGTTGCGCCCGGGAGACACCGACCAGAGCACTGGGAGGCCGCTAAGAGGGTGTTGTGCTACTTGTGCAGTACATCGGGCATGGGGCTCGTGCTTGGAGGACGGGGTCCAGTTGTCCTCACGGGACACACAGACGCGTCTTGGGTTGACGACTTGGCTACGTAGCGGTCGTCACAGGGTTACACTTTCAGCCTTGGCTCCGGCTCTGTTTCTTGGCGGTCTACCCGCTCGTCTTCTGTTTTCAGTTCCACTTGTAAGGCTGAGATGTACGCAGGGGCCATGGCTGCACAGGATTTATGCTGGCTCACCTACCTGCTGACCGACTTGGGAGAGGCACCTCGTTCTCCTCCAGTTCTGTACGTAGACAACAAGGTCATGATTGCCTTGTGTCAGGAGCACAGACTGGAGCACAGGACGAAGCACATCGCTCTGCGTTACTTCCTTGCTTGAGAGTTGCAGCAGCGTGGTCAGCTTCGTCTTGCTTACGTGGCCACTCGGGCCAACACTGCTGATATATTCACAAAGGCACTTCAGCGTGGTGATCATTAGCGTTTTTGTACTGTTTTAGGCCTTGTGCCTACTTTGCCTCACTTGCTCACTGCGTGACTTTGCTTGTACTGTGATCTATATACATATACCTGCATGCTTACCCCTTCTAGGTTATGATCACTGTACTGTTTGTTCTCGTTTATATAATTCTACATGTGAACTGGCCTTGTGGCCATTTGCTTGTGCTCAGAATGTGTGGTGACTTTGTGATCCACCCTGAGCTGGCTTTGCTTTTTCTTGATTGGTCCTGTGACCTCGTGTTCTCCCCCACTTTGCTTATGGGGGTGTGTCAAACTGTTATAATGTTTATATTGTGTAGGCTGTAGTGGGGTAGCCCATAAGGGGTACAACCCAATTAGGGTTAGTACTTGTACCAACTTTTTTCTCAATGCAATCATTCCCTCGTCTAGTTTCTAACATATAATACGGGGGGGGGGGGGGGGGGGGGCGGGGATACTCTATTCGAGTCTAGTCGAGATATACCCCCCTATTTGGCACCTTACAATATAAGACCCCCCCCCTACCACTAGAGACCTATTCATTTGTGATTTAGGGACTGGTACTTGGTGATTTTCAATGTTCATAGAGGAGGCAGCACAACCAAACACACATACGAAGGAACGTTACCCTATCTAATCCTCATCCTGCCATTAACCCAGGTCTCCGCCTCCTCCCCATCATATCGCCCTTCTGCCCACCATTCATCGCCTTCATCCTACCATCCCCCTTCAGCCCCCACCTCCTCCGCGACCCCACCGTTGTCCTCCTCCTCCTCCTCCTCCTCCTCCTCCTCCTCCTCCTCCTCCTCCTCCTCCTCCTCCTCCTCCTCCTCCTCCTCCTCCTCCTCCTCATCCTCCTCCTCCTCATCCTCCTCGGCATCCTCCTCTCCAGCTTCCGCCACCAGCTCAGCATCGCTGTCCCTGTCAGCAGTGGCAGCAGGGTCAGGGTAGAAAGGGTTGGGGACGAGCTCGTCCAGCTCCTCCTCGCACACATCCTCCATCACCTCCACCTCCGCCGCGTCCCGCAGGTGAGCGTGGATCAGATGATCCTCACTATGTGCCGCATCGCTGGTAGAGGCACTTGGCGTTGGCATGACGGGCCTGGGCGATGACCTAGCAACAGGAGTTGTACTGGGGACACGACGGCGCCGGCGTTGAGCACCCGACGTCCCAGCATCTGGGGATGTCACCATGGTGGCTAAACTACAGATGACACACTACTAGCTTCGAGGAGGTTTTATAATGGCTCCGCTCGCCATCTCTGATAGCCAGCTGAGCAAAGAAAGGGGACGTGCTGGGGAGAAGAAACAAGAGGAGAAGGACGTGAAGTACAGCCTACACACTGGGACGTGCTAGCTACTGGGTGTAGAGCACCTCCTAACCAATACTGTGCAGCCCCCTCGCAGCGTGCATGGGGTGTGAAGGCCGAGGCGACACTGTGCGCTGGGCCCATCACACGGTGCCTCTACGGTATGCTTGATGTGGTCGCCAATTCTGGCCAATGAGAGAACCCTCCCAGCATGATTTCGTGTTGACGTGTGTCAGACCTCAAGGAGATGGTTTCGCGTATTTTCTTGGAGTGCTAAAACGGAACACTTCCCATTCACTTGTCTGTGCCCAAAAACATGTATCTAAAAATGTCAATTTGTATAGACCCGGGTCTTATGTTATACATGCCACTTATTTAGACCCCCCCATTTTTTTAGGTGCGATTATGATAAGACCCTAGGGTCTTATATCCGGGGGTTTACGGTAGGATACAGTTCATTAGGGGCACACCCTTCCAACAGTCTCAATGTATGTGGAACACACAGAACTGCTCATCTCATTGTACTACGGCGGCCTAACAAGTCGGCCATTGGGATCCCGATTCCACAAACCCTTGAGCTCAATAGTGCAGTTACTCAGTGGGGTGCAGAGGTAGTAGAAGCATGCAGGCTGCGACATCTCAGCCTCCAATAACCTCCCTTGAGCATCCTGCCATGCCTGGACAGCCCCTGTTTTCCATTTAATGTCAGCATCAGAACTGCAAGGTGCACGGACCTTCGATTGAATAGTCTGAGCAAGTCCCATGTAGATGAGCCCGAGTAACACGTAGCCACACATCAGAAAGCACCCGGCAGTTCTTGACAGTGAATGGAGATTTCCAGAACCTTCTCTCCATTCGCAGGTCAAAACATCAATGAGCTTTAGGCTGGATACGATGGATTGCACTGAACACTGGGCACCTGAAGGAAAGTGACTGGATGAGAACATTTGTTGTCTGATTCCTTGGATCAATAATTTCTTGCCCTTGTACATACCATGGACTGTACTCGTGGGCCAATAGCTTTCCGTTAGCTCTTCTCCAGCGCACATCGGTAGAGGAGCAGGACCATCAAACAGAAGCACAAGCTCACTAGACTCTGGCAACGCTGCATGCATTTTGTTAGTACAAGTTGTCTTGCAAGAACAGAAACAAAGGGACTTACAGATCGTCGACAGAGGCCTTTCTTCCTCGGGGTCAATGTCTCTTTCGTCAATGTCCAAACGTTGGACGCCCATGACTGGAAAAGGAAAAACTTTCAGAGGGTACAGCTGTTGTCACAAATATCAGTGCAGGAGAAACGAGCATACCTGGGAAGGGATGTCTGATGACGTTAGTTAATTGGCTTCCGTGTGGAATTCGGACTGTCAATGTGCCTCGTTTTGACGGGGACTGGGAACCGCCATACTTGAAGGCGTACGAGCTCGTCTTGTTAATTTCTAACGACCAGCTCCATCTCTGAAAACACGAAACCGATAAGTTATCACATTGAAAAACACATACCTCGTGAACGAGTAAAATTCGAACCTGGCCTTCAATGTCGACTCGAAGATGGACAACTTGGGGTTGTGTGAGGAAGGTTGTACCCAAAGTGACATTCCTGCAACGAATGCATGGGGTTACGATACCCGTTGCGGCGATCGCAACTGGAAGGGATGGCGGGAATACCATACCCGAACAGTAAAAAGGCCGGGCCCTGCTTTTGCGGCTCGGCACTGCTGGCAGCGACGACTTCAAAAGTTGCAGATTGGAAACTTAGCATCAATGCAAACACCACGGCTACTCCAGCTTCGGACGCTAAAAAACGCGGCATTGCGTTGCATACAACGGTAACAAGAGAGCGCAGTTGCAAGATGCCGGTAACTATGTACTAGCTACGTGCCTGGATCAGTGCACGAGCTGAACATGGATGATTCTGTGCTCTGCTCAAATTTTCGGAGGAACAGAGGAGCTACAGATAACTTCGAGAGACACGCATGGGTGAGCCAATTGCACTCACAGGTTTCCTCTTGAGATTGTCGAAGAAATCAGACTGAAGAGCGCGTTGCTCCCGAAATTTGCATCACCAACCTAAAGTTTGTTTCATGCAGGATGGTTACTAAATATGCGAAAGCGGTCGTACAAGGCGGGAAAACCGTCGCGAGACAACCATCCATCTTTTCATCTCTTCGCGAACGTTCACAGGTCTGTAACGAAAACGCTTGGTACGTTTGTAGCCTCGCAGGTTCTTCCGTACCACTGAATAAGCCCGCAGGACCTTTTCCTGCCTTCCCCTTCTCTTCCCTGAATCCCAACCCTCTCACATGAATGACTCACATTTCTCTAGTGTCTTCGATCTTTGTGTTCTAGGCGTTTTACTTACAGTTTCTCGATTCCATCAATCTAGCCGTTACTTCAGTCAACAATACGCCCTAGCAACTGCTTCTTTCACGATGCGGGTCAGGCCTGCGATCGGACGGCTATCGGAGGATCTGCTATCCCAGATCCTCCACCTCGTTGGCGAATCCGGTAGCTATTTCCAGCACGCTCTCGTTTCTAAGGAATGGCATCGCATTGCTCGTCACGTCCAGGATTACATTCACGTGTGTGAAGATCGTCGCATGAGTCCGCGTCAACTGCTCTCCGAGCTCTCGGCGTTCCCTAGCCTCACGAAGCTCGTTCTTCCGTCCGGCAGCCTCACATCCGTCCCGGACTTGTTTCTCACCCGTCTCGCCGACACGTGTCCAGATCTGCTTCATCTTCACATTGAATCAACGGATCAGATTCACAGACGCGGGGGTTTTACCGAGGAGGCCCTGTCCTCCCTTCTCGAGGGTTGTGCTCGGCTGGAGGAGCTTCATCTGGATTGCCCTCTCCGACTCACCGCCATTCCGCCTTCCATCGGCAATCTTGCTTGGCTCAGGGATCTGCATCTCACTGCAAGCAGCGTCACTCACCTCCCCGACAGTATCACCTCGTTACAGTCACTCGAAAACCTGGTGCTACAAATGGACTCCCTTCAAGAACTACCTCCAGTTTTCGGGAATTTAATATCTCTAGAATCGCTGCGCTTGGAGTCTTGCGGGCCTCTCACGTCACTCCCGGAATCTATCGGGCAACTTGCAAATCTAGACCATCTCTACATTAGCGGCACCAGCAGGCTTCAGCTTCCGGCTTCCCTTTGCAATCTCTCATCTCTGGTGGTCCTCGAGATTCACAAGTGCCAGGATCTTTCACCGCTGCCCGAGAATCTCGGTCAGCTGCAGGCGCTCGAAATTTTTCTTCTGGACGAGGTGATGGGCCTCGCGGATCTGCCAGAGTCTCTCGGGCAGCTGCAGCGGCTGCGGCTCCTGCAATTGATTGGCTGCTTCGGTATTATGTCGCTGCCCGGATCCCTGTCTCGGGTGTCGTCCCTCACGGGTCTCAACCTGGTAGTTCCAACACTTTCAGCGCTGCCCGATGACATCGGGCAGCTATCGAATCTTCAGAGCCTCATGCTGGATGCTCAGAGCCTTACAAGCCTTCCTGCTTCCATCTCTCTGGCCTCTGCACTCCGAGAACTAGCCATTGACGGTCTTCGAACTATTACATCGCTGCCCGAAGAATTCGGGCAACTGACGGCGCTCGAGTCACTCCGACTGGCCAACCTTCCACAGCTCACCCACCTGCCCGAATTTCTCGGGAACTTGACAAACCTTGATGAGCTGAAAGTGGTGAAGTGCGCACGGTTGCATCAGCTGCCAGATTCTCTATCCCGGCTATCTTCCCTTGAAAAGCTGGATCTGAGTGAAAACCGGAGGCTCACGGCTCTACCAGACGGGTTGGGAAACGGTCTACAGAATTTACGAGAGCTAATTCTAATGCCTTGCAAGGCCCTCACTCACCTCCCTCCATCCTTCTCCAGTCTCGCATCGCTCGAAACCATAGAGATCCTGCAAGCAGACAGCTTCAGAGGGCCCCTGCCAGAGGGCTTTGGCTGCTTGAAAAGCCTCAAGAAGCTCTGGCTCTGCTCCTTGCCGCACCTTTCAGCCTTCCCTTCGCCTCTGCCCGGCCTCTCCCGCACACTCACCAGCATGATAGTGACCAACTGTTTGGAGATAAAGGAGCTGCCTGAGGAGATCGGACGGCTGGAAGCGCTTGAAGAGCTCACAATCTCGAAGTTATATGGCGTGGAATCGTTCCCAAAGTCGCTGTTTCAGCTGCCCGCGTTGCGGGTGCTAGAGGTGCTGGCGTGCACGGGTCTCGTGGCTCTTTTTGGGGATGAAACGCTGGGAGCGGCTGCGCAGGAGCAGGGACAGGGTGTCACCACTGGTAGCAGCTCACATGGGAGTGGCAGTTGCAATCCGAACAGCAGCAGCAGCAGTCCGAGCAGGAGCGCTGATCACCTGCTGCTTCCATCTCTGCAAAAACTGAAGCTGGAGGTTCTTCCTTTTGAAGCCCTGGGCCCATCTCTAGGCCGTCTCTCCTCCTTGACAAGCCTAGAGCTATCAGACATGCAGGTGCTGCTCACTCTCCCGGAATCCATCTCTGAGCTGTCGAATCTGCAAGAGCTTGTGATCACTCACGCCAGCAGTCTCGAGACCTTGCCAAACCCAATAGGAAGCCTTTCCAGTCTTGTCACGCTGCAGCTAGATGGGCTTGAAAACCTGCGTGAGCTGCCCGAGTCTTTCGGGCAGCTGAACATGCTCCAGTCACTGCAAATCAAGGATTGCGCAAAGCTGGCCCGACTTCCGGGAAGTTTCCCCAAACTGTCCAAGCTGGCAGGTTTTGTCCTTACCAGCTGCCCGCTGATTTCATACATCCCAGAGGATTTTTGGCAGCTTTGCTCCCTTGAGAACCTGGTTTTGATCAACCTGCTGAACCTGGAGAGCCTGCCCGAGTCTTTTTCGCAGCTGCCCCGGCTGGAAGATCTGAAGCTGTGGTACTGTGAGCGTCTGCGCCAGCTGCCGTCGTCTCTTTCGAAAATGCCGAAGCTGATTCAGTGCAACATTCGCGAGTGCCCCCTGCTTTCGGACCGAAGGACTCAGGTGATTTATGGGAGGGGGGATATGGAAGAGGGAGAGAAGGGAGAGCTAGGGACGGAGGACAGGGAGGGGCCTGGGACAGGGGAGGAAGGAGATCAGAATGATGGAGAGGAGTCGGAAGATGATGAGGAGTCCGAAGAAGACGAGGAGGAAGAGGATGAAAGTGATGGGGAGGATGATGAGGATGATGGCAGTGACGATGATGTGGAGGAGGAGGAGGAGGAGGAGGAGGAGGAGGAGGAGGAGGAGGAGGAGGAGGAGGAGGAGGAGGAGGAGGAGGAGGAGGAGGAGGATGAGGAGGAGGAGAAGGAGGAGGAGGAGGAGGAGGTGAAGGATGAGGAAGACCTGGAGGAAGGGGGAAGTGAAGATAGTGCAGAGGGAGTGGGTGAGGGAGAAGAGAATGAGTAGGGAGGTGAGGAGGGAGATGAGGGTGAGGAGGGACTGCGAGAAGAGCAACCGATTTTAACGTCGAAGGGCTTTGAAGAACTGCCACCACTCCCACTGCTGCCACTACCGCCACCCCCACCGCTGCCACCACCGCCGCCACCAAAGCCCCCACTCCCGCCACCACTCCCACCGTTGCCACCACCTCCGCCACCTCCACCACCTCCACTGCTGCCCCCACTACCACCCCCGCTGCCACCGCCACCACTCCTGCCACCCTTGCTCTTGCTGCTGCGGCGCTTCCCACTAAGAGCAGAAGCAGCCCCGACATCTGCAGCACCAAGGATTTCAACCGCAGCAGCAGAGGCATAGGAGGGGGCAAGGGGGGAGGGGGAACACCCCTCAAAGAAGGGTGTGCGAGGAGTGCCACGAGCGGCACCTACAGCGACTACGCTAGTTTCAGCTGCAAGAAGGTGCTTCTCGAGCAGGTCGACAGTGAGGTCTGTGGGGTCAAGTGCGAGAAAGTGGTCCCTGACAGCGCGAAGAGAGTCAGGGAGGCGGGTGACTATGAAGTAGAGAGTGATGTACATCGGGGGGGGGGGGGGGGGGTTCCTGTCTAGGAACTCGGCTGGGAAGGTAGCGTGGTAGCGAGCGTCGCTAGTGCGAAGGTGGGTAACTAGGTCCTCGACTGTGGCAAAGGGTGACAGCTCGGGAAACAGGTAGGGCAATATAAGGCGGCCGAGAGCAGCAGTGGCAGGGGAGGAGTAACGGGCGACTAGATCGTCGTACAGTGCTTTAGTAGTCTTGTGCTGTCCGAAGTGAGCGCGTTCGGCTAACGGTGGGTGGTTGCGAATGGCTAAGGGAGCAGCAGCGTCACAAGTAAGCCACTGTGAGCGAGTCGCACTGTCAGCTGTGGCGGGAGGGGCGAGAGAGGCTCCAGACGTGTGGTCAAACAGGGCAGGGCGACACACAGGTAGGGAAGCAATGCAGGTTTAGTACTTGTACCCAACTCATTCATAGTTCATTCATTCTCATTCAGCATTCTGACACGGTATCAGAGCAGGTCCTGTTCTAGGACCGATTTTTTTTTAGGGCCCACCACATAGCGCTGCCCCACTAGTCGCGTCGCCCTGCCTTGCTTGTCGCGTCGCCTTGCCCTATCAGTCGCGTCGCCCCTCCCGCCACAGCTAACAGTGCGACTCGCTAACAGTGGCTTACCCGTGACGCTACTGCTCGCTTAGCCGTTCGCAACCACCTGCCGTTAGCCGAACGCACTCACTTTGGCCAGCACAAAACTGCTAAGGCCCTGTACGACGCTGTAGTCGCTCGTTACTCCTCCACCGCCACTGCTGCTCTCGGCCGCCTTATATTGCCCTACCTGTTTCCCGAGCTGTCACCCTTTGCCACAGTCGAGGACCTAGTTACCCACCTTTGCACTAGCGACGCTTGCTACCACGCTACCCTCCCAGCCGAGTTCCTAGACAGGAACCCTCCCCCCCCCCCCCCCCGATGTACATCACTCTCTACTTCATAGTCACCCGCCTCCCTGACTCTCTTCGCGCTGTCAGGGACCACTTTCTCGCACTTGACCCCACGTACCTCACTGTCGACCTGCTCAAGAAGTACCTCCTTGCAGCTGAAACTAGCGTAGTCGCTATAGGTGCTGCTCATGGCACTCCTCGCACACCCTTCTTTGAGGGGTGTTCCCCCTCCCCCCTTGCCCCCTCCTACGCTTCTGCTGCTGCTGTTGACATCCTTGGCACTGAGGATGTTGGGACTGCTTCTCCTCTTAGTGGGAAGCGCCGCAGCAGGAAGGGCAAGTGTGGCAAGAGTAGTGGCGGTGGCAGCAGGGGTGGTGGTGGTGGGGGCAGTGGAGGCGGTGGAGGTGGTGGAGGTGGTGGCAGCAGCGGGAGTGGTGGCGGGAGTGGGGGTGGCGGTGGTGGCGGCAGTGGGAGTGGTGGAGGCGGCTGTGGTGGCAGTCGGGGTGGAGCTGCTCAGAGGGGAGGTTCTGGCGGTGGCCAGAGGCAGCAGCAGCAATGTCGGAGCGAGACCCCCTCTCCCCAGCAGCTTCGTGAGTGGTTTGCTCAGCGTGGGGCGTCTGGGGGTAGTGTTCGCTGCCGTATGTCATTCGCACAAGTGACCGCGCTGGTCACACTTGCGGGAAGTTTCACATTCAGCACCGCTGCTTCTCCCGCCTTGACGACGCTTGGCGCGCAGAGTTTGATGACGAGGATGAGCGCCCCCGCTGGCTAGAGCTTCTTAGGTCTGGAGTTGATATCTTTGCTCTTGACTATGATGCTATCCTTGCTGCCATGTATGCCTTGTCTGTTAGTGCTGAGGGTGACTGTTACCTGTGTGTGCCGCCTAACCTAGGTATAGAGGCTGCTGCTCTAGGTACTAGTGATTTTGCTCTCCCTGGTACTGCGCCTTCTGAGGCCTTGCACACCTTCACACTTGACTCAGGTGCTTCCCGCTGTTTCTTTTGCGACAGTACCACCCTCACTCCACTCACTGCACCTGTTCCACTCAGACTGGCTGACCCCTCAGGGGGCCCAGTTCTTGCCCGTTCCTCTACTGTTCTCCCGTGTCCGGCGGTTCCGTCCAGCTCATTCTTAGGTCTTCACCTCCCCTCGTTCTCTACGAACTTGGTGAGTACCACTGCCCTCCAGGATGCGATGGTCACTACCACCACTCTTGGGGGTCAGCGTGTGTCGATCTGCACGTGTACACGGACAGGCCGTCACCTGGCCACGTTCACCAATTAGCCTGGTTCGAATCTGTACACACTGACTACTGAGCCTCCTCAGGTAGCTGCGTCTGCTCAGGTGTTCGCGTCAGGTCCGGTAGCAGCCCCCTGCTCGTGTCGCCTCCTGTCGCACCAGACTCTCCTGAGGCACCACCGCCTTGGTCACGCCTTCGTGGAATGCACTCCCTCCTCCTTGTTTCTGGTCTTCCTAGGTCTCTGCCTCCCCTCCCGTCCTGGCCTGCCCCGCCCTGCCTTCCTTGCGTCGAGGGGTGGCAGCGCGCCGCTCCTCACTCCTCCTCGTTTCCTCCGATGACTGCTCCCCTGCAGACTCTCCACATGGACGTGTGGGGCCCAGCCCGCGTCAGTGGACAGGGCTGCGAGTACTACTTTCTGCTGGTTGTTGACGACTACACGCGTTACTCCATGGTTGTGGCTAGTGCTAGTGGCTAGTGCTGGCATGGGGCTAGTGCTTGGAGGACGGGCTCGAGTTGTCCTCACTGGTCACGCAGACGCTTCCTGGGTGGACGACTTGGCTACGCAGCGGTCGTCACAGGGTTACACCTTCAGCCTTGGCTCCGGCTCTGTCTCTTGGCGGTCTACCTGCTCGTCTTCTGTTCTCAGCTCCAGTTGTGACGCTGAGATCTACGCTGGGGCCATGGCTGCACAGGAGTTACGCTGGCTCACCTACCTGCTGACCGACTTGGGAGAGGCGCCTCGTTCTCCTCCAATTCTGTACGTCGACAACAAGGCCATGCTTGCCTTGTGTCAGGAGCACAGACTGGAGCACAGAATGAAGCACATTGCTCTGCGCTACTTCCTTGCTCGAGAGTTGCAGCAGCGTGGTCAGCTTTGTCTTGCTTACGTGGCCACTCAGGCCAACACTGCTGATATCTTTACCAAGGCACTTCAGCCTTGTGATCATCAGCGCTTTTGTACTATGCTAGGTCTTGTGCCTACTTGGCCTCACTTGCTCACTTCTTGACTCTGCTTGTACTGTGATCTCTATACATATACCTGCATGCTTACACTTGCTAGGTTGTGTTCACTGTATTGTTTGTTCTCCTTTATATAACTCTGCATGTGAACTGGCCTTGTGGCCATTTGCTTGTGCTCAGAATGCGTGGTGACGTCATGATCCACCTTGAGCTTGCTTTGCGTTTCTTGACCGGTCTTGTGACCTCTTGTTCTCCCCCACTTTGCCTATGGGGGTGTGTCAAACTTATATGCTATAGTCTGTTTAGGCTGTAGTGGGGTAGTTCATATAGGGTACAACAATTTTAGGTTTCCTACTTGTACCCACCTGCTTGCTAGTTCAGTCATTCATTCCTTCACTATTCTGACACATGATCCATGCGGCTGCTCCCCATTTTTTGTGGCCGTTTGCGGTCCGGTACGCTGCGCATCAGCTCAACCTCTGGCCCAGTGTCTCCTTGCCGGAGACCTCTCCTACACTGCGTTGGACGGGGAAGGTTGGCGATGCGTCGGTGTTTTGGGTCTGGGGCTCTCGTGCCTTTGTCCGCAATACTTCCGCGGACAAGCTCTCCTCCCGCGCTATTCCTGCATCTTCCTTGGCTTTCCCCCTGACGCGCCTGGCTGGCAGTTTTACCACCCCACCTCGCGCTGTGTCCTGCCCTCTCAAGACGTCAAGTTTGACGAGTCGGTTCCCTTTTACTTTCTCTTCCCCTACTGCACTGCCCCCCTCCCCCCCCCCCGCCGCTCTTCCTTGCTCCAGGCCCCCCTCTCCCCTCAAGGTCCTGCTCCCTCGAGTGTGTCTCAGGTAGACCCACTCCCCGGGACTGTGCCTGTCAAGGTCGCTGTAGACTCAGGTGCTGCTAGAGGTGCTGCGTCTGGGGGTGCTGCGTCTGGGGTTGCAGCATGCGAGTGCGGAGCCTGGGGATGCTGAGCCTGAGGGTGCGGAGCTTGGGGGTGCGGAGTTTGGGGGTGCTGAGCCTGGGGGTGCGGAGCCTGGGGGTACTGAGCCTGAGGGTGCGGAGTCTGGGGGTGCTGAGCCTAGGGGTACTGCGTCTACTGGAGGTCCTGCGGGTGCCTCGCCACGACTGTCTCCCAGGCAGGAGCCTCTCTCACCGCAGCAGCTGCGCGAGTGGTTTGCTCAGCGCACATTCCTTAGGAGTGGAGCTGCAGGAGCTGGAGGCTTTGCCGCTGGAGGCACTGGAGCCGGAGGTGCTGGAGCTACTAGTCTTGGAGGTGCTGGAGTTATTGCTAGAGCTAGAGGTATCGGAGGTGCTGGAGCTGCTGGTCCTGGAGGTGCTCGTACTAG